GATATGTCATGCTCGAAGGTTAATGTAAGGCGAATAATCAAACGTCCCGACTACTCGCAAAACAGGATCATTACGGACATCATTATCGACGAAAATAAGCCGGCGCTTGAATTCCGCTTTTTGCGCTTTGCAAAAAGAACGAGATATATAATTGGTCGCTAAACTAGGTAGTCTCGTGACGACCTTCTTGTCGAGCAAAGAAATAATGATGCTCGAAAATACGAAGAAAATTGGCAGCATTCATCGTGCATCAAAGACCGGGATGGCTTGAAAAATTATTGCCAGTTAATAAATAAAGACGGATTTAATCCGAGATTTGCGGTAGACCTTCGTTGATTAATCGTTTTGCAAAAAGAAATAAATTTAACGTCTTATTCCGACGTCGAGTTTGTCGATCTTCGCTTTGTTTTTTTCCCGGTTTTTACTTCATAAAGACAAATTATGATCAAATTAAACCTGTCATCGATACACGATGGACATAATCTTGGTGAAAGTACGTAAACCTCGTTTGCGAATTAAATTCACCGCGATCTTTTACATCATCTTAAAATATCTTGAAATATGTGATCACTGAAGAAGATATTTTTAAAATTTTGCGCAAAGAGTAATTTACATGGTTTATTTTAAAGACGCTTCCGGGCAAGATAAAAATTAGCAGATGCTTTATTAAGATATAACAGGTAAGAACTTTGAGAAAAACAAGACGCAGTTCGGTCGTTCGCAAAAAAATAAATCGAAAACAAACACGAGGAAGAAACCGACGATCGATGATAAATTTTCTGGCATCACGCGTCATGAGATCATCGGCATCGAAAAATGTGAGCGTCAATATATTTCTTGTCGTTAGAAAGACAACGCTAAGAAGAGTTGCCCACACATGCCAGTACCGAGAAGACGAACGATAACAGACTTTGCCGTTATATAATAGTGTACACACGCGTTTATCGAGCACGAGAGTCATGTGTCAGATTAAGCAAACAATTATTATTATATCATCATACAATAATTTGTCCCTTTTGATTCGGAAGAAATAGCGTAGAGATTTTCCAAACATTCTGCGCAGAATTATCAAATAAAGTATAAGCTGTAAATTTATATATTAACGCAAATTATTAGGAATAATAATTCTTCAATTATTTATTTCAATATTATAGCGCAAAATTTATCTACACAGAGAAAAATATTATTCTATTGCCAAGAAAAGCGATTACTCAGTATTTTTCTTTTTTTAAGTAATAGTTTTCTTCAACAAAGAATATATTCTTGATAATAGTCTTAAAATACTCATCACAAATGTTAGAAAATCTCATTATCATGTACTCAAAAGAAGAATTTATTTTCTCTTCAAGAATATTGTAAAGTTGTATCAAAGAAAAATCAAACTTATTTTACGTCAACTCTTGTAGTAAGCAAACCAAATTTTTGTTTTAATTTAATATTCTTGAAATACTAAAATACTGTACACTTACTAAAATTCAGAATATATTCAATTAAATTTAATGCTTGTGGTGAACTTATGATATACTTAAAATAAATAATATTTACTTGAATACAGTATACATTTTTCTCTGTGTAAGTAATTTTTCTCTTCATGATAGAAAATAAAGACGTTTGAACATTGAAGTTTCTATCGCATATAATTGTGACGTGGGATCTATAATTATTTCTTAATGAAAAATATATTTTTAGAATCGCTTTATTTACCTACGGCTACAAAAAGGTTAGCGGGGCAGCGGTCAAAGAACGCGGTGCGACGAAAGGGCAGCAATCGGGCGTTATTCTGTGTTTTTCATATCTGATCGGTGCGCGCAGCCTGGAATCGTGCGCCGGAGATAAATCTGCGTGTTGCCACCCTACCTTTCACTTGAGCACGTGAGTATGCATCTCACTGCCCTCGGGATAAGGTCGCGTAATAAGGCATGAGTTTAAGAGCGAACGCGGGTGGACGGTGGTATGAATTTACGATATGATGGGAAGAGGGGGAGGGGGTAGTTTCTACAAAGTACGTGGCGGGATGATTAAGATACTAATTAAAGTCTTTTAATACGTACACAAGCAAGCCAAGATGTAATAATTCAAATTTAAGAAAACTTCCTTGATCGCTTCCTCGATTTGAAGATCGATTCGTACAATTTCACATTCGGATCCTAAACATGTGCAATGTAGTAGAATTTACATATATACATACTGTGTGTGAAAGATTGCCAAAGAGTTGTCAGTTTGTTTTGAGAAATATGTCCTTCACTTGATGGGGTGACATTTATTAATCGTCGTACGTTGATTTTATTCACAGGAGACTGGGGAGATCTTTTTACTTTTTTAAGATGCAAATCAAGGAGCGCTGGCGTGTTCCGGAGAAATCGCGTAGTTATGTGCCTGTGAACCTCTAACACAATCCCCGCTGCACGCGGGGTCACGGGGAAAGAGAGAGCGAAAACGAGACTTATGCAAATTTTTGCTCGCTCGCCAGGTTCGCGTAACCTTTCCGTGTCGCATAACTTCGTCGTGCGAGGATACCGTCGTCACGATGACGGTTTTAATCGGCGTGTTCGCGTCACAGAAATTCCACCAAGGTGCGCTATGAAAAAGTATTCGTCCCGCGACTCTCATTCGCATTCGTAGAACGCGATTTCAGTCGTCGAAACACGTTGAACGGCCGTCAACTGTAATTACGTCACGACCGCGAAGCATGTATAAATTATATTAAAAAAAAATTGGAAAATTGAATTTATGCAAAACGTTTAATAAGTAAACGTTTATGCATGAATGAATATATGTTATGCATGAATCAAGATATATATCGATATATAACACATGTTGATTGAAGATTAATTCCTCGCAATCGATATTATTTTCTCATTACGAGAGTAATTCTCGAATTTCCTTCGTATTGAATGATTTTAATTAAGTTATAAATTGTTTTTAATTGACATGCAAGATGGATGTTACAGAATTCACAACTTCAATTAATATATTCTGGGGATTTTATAATTTTAAAGATATATAGAGTATTACTTGCAAGAGAGGCTTTGGAATATTCATGGGTGCATAATCAGCGTACAAAACATGCTACGGAACCGCTCTAATAACGCCTGAGATTGATCCCCCGGACTTTGCTATGACCGGAAGTTCGAATGTCCATGAAGGGGATGCACGGCGCTTCGCGGAAGATCGCTATTAGCGCTTCACGGCTATTTTGAGTTCTATTAATATCTCTGAAATCAAGCGAAGCGCCGTGGCTTCTTCAGCCAAGCCCATGTATGATCTAATCGTGATCGATGTGTATTCACAGGGTGTAGCAAAGGAAATGGACTCAAAGCTACGCGCATCTTCGAATCTAGATCTGACAACTAACAGAGAAAGAGAGAGATAGATGATGAAATAACATACACAAACACACACACAACACACACACACACACACACACACACACTCTCTCTCTCTCTCTCTCTCTCTTTCATACTATAAATCTATTTAAAATTCTATTAATGTCTAACTTTCAGTCAGAGTTGAGAATGAAGATGTCTCGTTAATTGATAGTAAATATTTAATGAGTTTCTTCATCGTTGTGACATTTATGTCTTTAATTTACTTAGACTCATAAGAATAATTAGTAAACTAATTAAAATAATTACAAATAATAAGTAGGGTAATCTTCCAATGATGAAAACTATCTGGCAAAACTTTCGCGCATAATATAATGATGGTAATTAATGACAACAATTAATAATTACAATCGCCATATTCCAAGTTGGAATAAATCGCGGAGCTCCGATAAAATTCGATAGTTAAAGATAAAGATACGGACAAGAAGATGAATTGCAGAGTATCTCTCTTTACGATCTCAACATTTCATATCGATTACGCAAACGGAATGCGCTACGATGTAGATGAACTTTTGATCGGTACGGATTTTTCTATTAATCGAAAAGCGAAGGAAGCCAAATACGACGCGACTTGTAATATTTATGACCAAAATTTGAACACACACACACCCGGGGAACTCAGCAGTTACAAGGCCGTTCGTTTTCAAGCGGGACGGTTTTAACTTCGGTATGAATTACAGGCGCGGCGCTTGAAACAATATACTACCGATATGTATTGCACGCAGTGTCTATCGTGGCGTTGCGATTCTATCACGCTTCGTATGCAAAATATTATGTAATGTACCCGACGCAGATAACGCGAATTAGCGACCTCATTGTATCGTTCAAGGAAACGAAGCTTTATGCAAAATGGAATGTGCGGTTTTGCTGTCGCGCATAAATTTCATCCGTATTAAGTAAGTTCCCCAACATTGGAAAAAATTAAATTTTCATGTGCAGTCATTGTTTATCGCACATTATATGAGGTTGCAGTTTTTGAATTTGTACAGAGCTAGTGTGGAATTTTTTTTCGATAACTATTTTTTTTAAACGTGCAAACAAAAATTCGAAAACATGTGCGGACAATATGCAATTAAATGACGTATAGAAATTTAATTTAATTTTTTTCAATGTCAACTTTATACGGATATAAATTTCAATCTTATTTTTAGCACTATCGCTAATTTTCCTTTTCTTCGCCGGAAACGAGAAGGTAAAAATTCCGATCCGAACGGAGATATCGATGTGTCATTAAATCCAAGTCAGCGAAGTTTCACGCGGTATACCAGGATGTGGAATACCGACGAGTATTCTCGTCACATCATGGAACATACGGTCCTTGGTAAATATTCATGATGTATGCATGTAACATTTAAGTTGTGAGGGAGGTGAGACGAGGTGGAACGAGCGGAGTAGGAGAATCTTCCTGGCATGCGAAGGCAAAAATCGCGCTACATGATAGACTCCATGGCTGTGCGATGGCAGCACGATACAAGCAGTTCTCGCGTGCATTGAATAACGATAGGCCCGGGAGTGACACGCGAGTGTGCCACGCGCGTCGTTTTTTATCACCATCCAGCTTTTAAATTAAGCGATATCCCGCGGCGCCGGAGAAAATTTAATCAGTTCACTCACCGTCAGATGACATTGCTAAGGGTAGAAGATCGCCGGCAGCCTTCAGTTGATCAAACTTTTCTATTAACAGGAGCATCCTATAAACAAAAGAGGAAACAGTTTACATAATGTTACGATTGTAGATTTTCTTACAATAAATTCTTCTGATAAAAATATCGCCCTATGATCATATGTCTTAAGTGATCATGTAAATCTCTAGATATTGCTATTCTTATTCTTATTTGGTAACCAATTTATCTGTCAAAAATTAACAAATTAAAATTTTTATATTTTATTTTTTTAAAATAATTTTTTAAAATTAATTAATTTTTACTATTAAAATAATATTAAATATTCGATACTATCGATATAATAAAAAATATATTGTTATATATTTAACTAAAAATTACTCGAATAATATTGCATTTTTAATCAATCGTCAATTCAGCCGCAAAAATCTTATTAATCTATTAAAAAAGCTATTTTTAAAAGAAAAATATTAATTTTACTCTTTATTATAAGTCATATTTGTGAATTACTATTACTAAAGTTTGAAATAAGAAATTTCGGAACTCTTTAATGATGATATCTTATCTTGCTTGCTCTCTACTCAGTTTCGGTAAGAACCCATAACTTTTAAATCCGGGAAGATAAGCGAGTTCACAAGACATACTTTTGCGTCACTAGTGACCTCCGATCTGTGATCATGTAAGCCAAACTTATTATAATATATTACATTAACCAGTTAATGTATAGTGAGAAGAAGCCTTTCACGAGCGATTGAATCGCGATTAGAAAATGTGCCATGAAATTCTCGCAGACTGAAAGCCGAAAAGAGAATCCGCTTTCACTAGCCATTTCACTTACTTGGCTTGCGGCACATTGTGCTTTCGTTGCAAATCAATGCGTAATCTCTCGCCTACATGTCGATAGATGTCCGCCAGCGTGTTCAAAGCGGTCTCCCGAACTTTTTCCGAAGGATCAGACAGCAACTTGACAATGGTCGGGATCACGCCCGATAGAGCCATCTCGTCTGCTCCATGTCTAAAAAAATGTTAATGTTCCATATATTCTAGGGATCTTCTATCATTCTATACCCAATGTTTTACACATTTTAAATAAACGCAAACTTGCAACTTACTCATTCAATGTTGTCGTCAACAAAATCAGAGCTTCCTCTCGTAATTTTGCATTCTTGTGATTAAAAGCCGGACGAAGTCTATCAAGAAGATTCTGAGGCGACATGCATCCTTTCTCCATAATTTTTAGCAGCACCAATTGCGCCTTTTCTCTAGTAGCATCTTTACTGTCACCTGAAATAAATGCAAATTTAATCATCGGTTCTCGTACATGATATGATATATGAATGCGGGGAGAGGAGAAGATATTGTCGAATTGCTCGTATGTGTGCAACTTATTCTCAACATCAGCTTTGCGGGAGAGCTGAAAGCGATCGGCGGACCGGTTCTCGACAAATATGGTATACATCTGTCATAGACTTCAACCTCATTAAAGACATTTAAACTTCACTCCGTTCTATTTGAAACTCATTTAACGATTAACTGATGATTCATTCAATACAGTAAAACTCGCTTCTAGATAAAAGTCTACAAGCAGTATAGTTTTCTAATTAAAAACTTGACGTCAACTCATCTTTTGTCATGTTTGTATCATGTGTACTTTAAGAATATTTATAAGCAAAAATATATAATATTACATAAGCTACGAAATTATTGATTGTCGTAAATAATAATAGAAATTTTCCCAGTATTAATATCATTTATTGTCGATTCCTCGATGATTTATCAGACAAATGAAAGGGACAAATACGTTCAGCACTCACCTAGCCTATCTATCGTTGGCTGAATGATGGTGGAAATGTAAGGCTTGAAATCGTGACCCATTCGATCCGCGAGATACGTCAGGATCTCTAAACCATTTTGAACAACCTGTAAAAAGAAACACACATGCATTGTTTGAATTTATGGCGCATATCGGCGACGATTATAGCGGTGGCAATGATTGTCCTCCTTCGGCAAAATCGCATCGTCGCTTTCGCGCCGATGTGCATCAAGGCGATCGAGGTCTACCGGATAATTTAGCGAACACAGAGAAGGTGTTCATACGGGGGGGCTCCATTACGAGCTATATTAATTAACACTTCCAACTACGGCGAAAAAGGTTGGCTAATAATAGAAGCGCCTTGATGCAACTGACTCTCGCTACCGATATCTTATAGCATACATTCTTTGGTTATATAATATAATTAAATTTTTTTTTTCAATATAGTTTCACATTATTATAAAATATATTGTTATTTATTTTATATTATATATATATATATATATATATATATATATATTCTATTTAAACACACACATATTTTATTTTATACGTATTAAATATTATTTTATATTATTTTAAAATATTTAAAAAAAGCAGCGAAAAAAGCACTAAATAAAAAAGAGAATGCGGTATTAGAAATTTTAATAATGCTCTGTTTTTAATTATACTTAATCAAAAAAAGTTATTTATTTAATAGATTGCTCTCTCTATATCTCTCTATATATCTCTATAAAGAGAAAGAGCGAGCTTAGAGATTTCAAAATGTGCGCAATGTTGACATCTCCAATTCGCATGATGTATATCGATCGGAGCTTTTTTTGAAGTCAGAAAAAAATTGCACCTTCACACGCTTCGTTGCCTTTTATTCGTTATTACGCTTGACCTGAGAACCCTGCAAAGCGTCAGATGTAAAATCCACTCGTGATTACGACACGCGAATAAAAGGTTTTTTTTTTAATTAAGGAAATGTGCAATTAACTAACCAGCGAATCTTTGAATTGCATTTGCTTAAATTCATGTTTTAGTGACTGCTAAATGCGCATGGGATCGCGGTAATTATGGTGGAAGTTATAATTAAGGAAGGCAAACTGTTAAGATTAATGGTATACATATATATAAATGCAATTATTATAATATAATATTTAAATTATAATTCATAGCATTTAGATAAAAAAAATATAAATATTGACAATTTTAATTTTCCATTAAATGATTTGTATATTGTCACCGCAAGCTGCAAAAGCGTCCCAATATAGTGCGATGTTTAAATACAGTTAACGAAGTACTATACATAGATGTATAAAACCTATTTTCGAGCCGCGGGGTAAACGTTCTCTCAGGGCTATCGTCTAGTTGTGACATCATTGCTCAGTACCGACAGTTTTTGCCTTCCTCTTTGACTCTTTGCTATCCTCTACATCATTTTCTTTTTTGAAAGAAATATATGCGCTTCTAAAATCTATCTACAATTAAGATATCATATAAACAAGTACATCTATTAATTGCATCGCAAAAGGTAAATAACCCGATAAAGTTTATCTTTGGGCGTATCTATCGATATCACAATTGTATTATTTATTGAGTGAAATAATAACATTATTGCACAAGACTTATAAAAATTTGTATTGTGATAAAAATGTTATGAAAATATTAATTACATAAATTAATTAGATAACATAAATTCGAAAAGAAATATTTGTCAATCCCAAATTTTCTCTATGTCTTTAAATATATACAGCGTAAAATGCATAACATATATAAAATTTTTATCAATATTTTTATCATTGTAATCTTTTTGCGATTCTTATGCAAGATAATTAAAGAATGACAAGTGAATATATTTGAAAGGTATTGATAATGATGAAAATTCTAATATTAATTGTAAGTTATAATTAGAGTTAACTTTTCAAGTAAATATGTTTACTTTTTTTGTCTCAATTCTCTCTCTCTCTCTCTCTCTCTCTCTCTCTCACACACACACACACACACACACACACACACACACACACACACACACACACACACACACACAGAGGAACTTTGATAATGCGACCGCTTTTTCTATCTGTAACCTTGCTTAACATTGAATATCTTAATCTCGTTATATTGACCTTAATATAAATTGCAATTATGTGTACAAACAGTTTTATTTAAAGAACTTTCTTATTTCCCTTAAAATTCTTTTGACAGTTTCACATAGAAAAGAAGTTATATATATTCGAAAAGCTATTTTTCTTATTAAAACAATTTTGTGCTGCCTATTAACATCAATATTTTTAGAAATTTATTTTTGATCACGCGCCTTGCTAATAAACGTACAGTGAAAGCCATAATAGTGATAAAAAGATTATACAGAAACAACGCGCGAGAAAGGGTCAAGCGTAACGTACATGACACGACACGCACGCGTGGGCGAGAGCTCCAGCTTTACTTGTCAAACTTGGGTGCACAGTCCGTTAAAACAGTTGTTAGAGCTACGTGGGAGGTTGCAGGTCTCCTTTATATGACCGCAAAAATGCATCGCGTGCAGATTCACATCCGCGGGATGCTCGTCGAAAATGAATTTAGAAAACGTTATTAAACGGAAATTTCGTTGGAAATTTCATGTATTTTCGGGTACATCAGATATATCGGGTATCAAATATGTCGCTGAACTTCTTGGCAATTTAACAGAGATGCGACAGGAAGCGAGACGACAAATTTGCCAACAATTATGAAAGCGACTTGGGTTACATAAATTTCATAAAATCGAATCAATATTTGTTAAAATTGTAATAATATTTTTTAAAGTATAAGAAAAAAACATAAGAGTCTATTTCCAAAGAAAGGCTATTAATTAAATTACTTTCGTAATCGTTATGATTAGAAGAATCATACAATTGATAGACACGATAGACTGATCGTGTCTATCAATTAAAAAATTATCCCTTGCATTATAAAAACATGCTTCTCTTGTTTCATCTTTTTTTTTTTAAGTCTTATTAGCACACGCTGCAAACGCGACGCGAAAGGCGAGAAAGGGAGAAATGCACAATTTCACCGCGTCGAGAGTCGGTCGTCGTCGATTTGCAACGGACTATATTTGGCAACCTCCATATTTCTCGGTTATCTCTTCCCCCTTTTGAGACAAACAAGTCTTAATGCGCGAGATAAAACGTGACTCGATAGTCTCGGAGCATATTCGTTCTGGTTTTGTTGCAACAATTTTGAGACAAAGCACTAGTAATTCTAAAAGTTATTCTAAAAATAATTCCGAGAGATAAGCACGTTGCTGATGTCTGAACGTAAACAAAATTTACGAAATTCTAAGAAATATTAGTATACCGATTCTTCAATTCACGAGGCGCATGAATTAAGTAATATAAAAATGATTGAGATATGCGGAAAGTTATCTTATAATCATATGGATCTTGATTCTTGAAAAAATAGCGAATTGATTGGGAGACATTGATTTACGACACAAATGACCATGACATATACCTTCGTGAAAATATCGCAATTTCTCATTTTTGATTACGCATGCACAAAAATGCTCGTTACAAGTATGTTTTTTTTTATTTCCTAATTGTCATCATCGCAACATCGAAGAAGTGTAAGAATAACGTTATGTAAGAGAGATAAAACGTGCTCGAACGCATATGATACGTATGTAAAAAGCACCGAGGTGAGGGTGATGTCATACTTTAAATCCTGAAAAGGAAACATCTCTGTGGCGTGGAAAAAAGCGAATGGAACGCAACGACGAAGACAGCTTCGATTCGCGTTTTGTCTCATGTCCTTGACATCGATACGGTGCATTCGTGCCTTGCAAAAATGGTATAGCTATCGCACCGTAAGAAGAAATATTGTTAAGTCTAATTACACATGACGATTCACAGCTCGGCGACCATAATTACGACAAAAAATACTCCGCGTCAAACCTGTATTTATCCATATTTTTACGCTTCTGCGTAAAGTATAGTGACATAAAAGCAACGTGTTTCATTCGCATTGTCAAACGAGATAAACGAAAATAAAATCAAATATTTTTTAAGAATTTTTTAAATTATAAAATATTTTTATTAAAAGGAAAAATATTTAGTCAAACATTTCATTAAATATTTTATATTTGATAAATTATAATTATATGATATAATAATAATAGATATATAGAATTATGTTCTGAATTATATTACAAATCTCAAAAAAATCAAAAAGAACACAATGAAAGTTTAATAATAAAATTGCGTAGCCAGTTCTTTTATTTCCTTCATTTTTTAAGAAATCGAGTAGAAAGAAATCAGGCGTTAATCGATTCGAAAATAATTGATAAAGGAAACATATGTTTTATTTCTCTGGTTGTTTGCCAAAATCAGGAATCAGAGCATTCGCCGAAGATAAAAGACGGTCCGTATCCTGGCAAACGGCGTATATATTCATCAATGACCGAGAAAAATCGAGAAAGCTCTTTTTAGCAAAACATTCTTATCTTTCAAACTGATACAATGGATTGTTGCAAGTAGCGGACAGCTGAAAGGTCGCTTTCAACACATTTTTCTCGGATATACCGTCACGAATCTTCGTTCTCATTTTTCTGTGTTGCCTAAGTGAAAACACGTACACTTGCAGTTAACATTGGCATCAACAAGTGGTTTCGGATAATCACGTATTCAGGATGATTTTCATAAAAAATTTCAAGCGCTGCAATTAAGTGCGACACGCGTTTCCGCTGCCCATATTTCGTTCGCTCGTTTTATTGACATTCGATTCGCCAGTGCGTTGAGTGCGAATTGAATGACGCATTGTGAAGAATGAAAGCCATTCGCGAATTAAGTGGAAACTACACACACAAGTAAGTTTCATTTTGATCCTGATATTCTTAGATATAAGAAGTGTGTCAAATTTGTAATATTTATCGAAATATCATTTGGATTAACACAAACTAATAAAAATTAAAAAAAATCTATTCCCGAAAAAAGGACTGAAAAACTTTGAGAATTGCGAATCTTTATATATTAGAATTAATGATGCGAAAAATTGATCTCCAAACGCAATTGCGAGGATTATTTTGAAAAAGTAGAAAAGAATTGTACGTACATATAGAGGAAACAGAGAGATGACTCGTACGATAATAAAAAGTCACGCTAAAAATAGCAATGAACGTTCGAGTATATCGATATGTATAAATATGTATGAATATGTGTGATTTTTTCGCGCGTGTTTTCGTACACAAAATATCAAACATAAAAAAAATATACATAATGCAAAGGTCTCTCGATTCGATTAATTATTTATTATGTTGCAGAGGGATACTTTCACACATTCCTGCAATCAATATGATCGGAAAGAAAGAGTGACGTAAGACGATCTATCCGATGTGCTTCGATTAGTGACAGTTATTTAAGAAAAATCGAACGTAAGCATATCGATTACACGGAGATCACAAGTCGCGGTAAGTTGATAATCACGACGTGAAACACGAATAAAATTCCTGAATAAGTATTATGCAATTTCGAAGCAAAGACACAGAAAGTGTAATGAAAAGAGGAAAATATATTACGAAGAATTCCAGTAATAATTGAACAATACAACAGTATATTATCGAGTATTTTATAAGATATCGACTTGTTCATTAATCTACTTTACGAAGAATGCTTTATCGAGGTAACTCGTTAGATCTACAAGTGTAATATTGCGCGATGAATCACTCGTTACCGCCCAAACGACGAGAATAATTTCTTACTGCTACTCCTCTTTGAACAGATTTTGTCACACAAATATCCTTCAACATTTCAGCCAATAATAGCTCGTAAACAAATCATCGTGCCTGTAACTATTAGCTATTTTCGAATAAAGCAAGTTTGATGGCTCTGAGAGTGATTAATGACGTCATAATCTCCGTCTTGGGGTACTAGAGGTACTTGGATTATTAGATTAATCAATGAAACACTTGGAATAAGCGTTGATTAATTAGGATAAAGAATCTTATATTTTAAAGTCAAAATAGCGTCAAATGAGGTACTTTATGTCGCTATAATTTATCATTTATATTAATTAGATTCAATATCTATTTTCAGTCGAATATATGTTTATGCAATTAGGTTTAATTGCTACCAGAACGATCACTTGCTTCATTCGAAAGCATTATATCGTCGAACTGATCGCGATTTTATAACATTGTGCAATCAACAATTAATTTCTTTTATAATCTCGAATATTTTGTTACTAATTATATTTTAATTGTAACGTAAAATTTTATTTTATATATAATCGCAATTTTAATTTATTTTTCTAGTAGAAATGCATGATAATTTTGACGCGATCGGAAAGAAGGATCATGAACATAAAGCTCATCCATGAAATCTCAAACTTAAATCTGTTAACTTTACCTGATGATTTAAATCCCGCATCAAAGTTTCGAATCGCTCTCGATACTCCATTAAACTGTCACTCGAGCTGTTATGCATTTCTCTCGAAGGGCTCAAAAACTCGCGTCAATCTTACTCGCTCGGCCATTACTGGAGGACATTTAGCGACTTAATGGCTGTGACTAAAATGACATCCCTGCGTCGATCTTTGCAATACGCTAGCAAAGAACACGTTACGTACATGGCGTGAAAGTTTTTTCCCTTATTCGCAAGTTGAACCGAACTCCGTGATTCTTCGTCGAAATACGTCGCAAAAGATGTAGAACAAATCTTGGACTTTCGATTTTTGCTCAGGAATATTATATACAATATTGCTATTCATATAATTTTTAAAATTAAGAATCGAGAGAAACATGGAGAAAATTATGCAAAAATTATGTTTACAAAATATGTAAACAAATATCGTGTTCTTAATTCGATTACATCTTACAAATGTCGTCCTTGACAATCCGGCAAGAAAACGAAAAAAAGGAATAAACATGACAGTTATTTAATTCGACAAAAATATCGAGGATGTATATCGACAATAATAACACGTCATAAACTTGATTGCTCTTCATGCAGATTGAGCAATTTAAAGGTCCCATCGGCGAACTCTCAACTATGTATCCTTCGAATCTTGAAATAATCTCTCTTGATATATCACGATTCTACAAAGTACAACGTTCTTTCGTGAAAGAGAAGGAGAGAAGAAGCAGAATTATGAAAAATTCAACACGCCTATAGACAAGTGACGAGAGAAAGTCCAACAATAACAATGAGATGACTATTTTTATGACTGAAGTGAATTAAATTTAAAAGCATTGTAAAGCATGTCATCGTTTTAAAGTACGATATGAAACAACCGGAAAGATCTTATCGCAATTCTTCGAGTATTAAGAGTTAGATACGACGTATAAATAACATTCAAATAAATAGAATGAGAACCTCTGGTTACACATACAAGATAACAGATTGACAATCCGACACTCCACCTCGTGATCGTACAAAATTAGGATCAAAAGAGACTGAAATATAATGTAACAATTTCTTATATATAAGATATAAAAAAGGAAGAGATTATATAAAGATGTACGCAAAAAAGGTATAAGAAAATAAATATAAAAGAATTGTGAAACACTAATATATATATTTACATAAAACCTGTATATTAAAAAGATATTAATATTCTCCTTATTTATTTCTTTAATCAATTAAATATCTCTCTTGTATGATGTAAAAATATAGAATTATTTATTTAACTTGTTATTTTTGTAAATAATATTTAAAATTATTTTTCATAATTTTTTTATATTTATTATAATTTTTTTACATTTATTATAAATAAATGCAATCGGTATATTCATATGAAAGGAATAAAAGTTAAATAAAAATCCGTCATGCATTGTGTAAACATCCTGTTTTGCATCAGTATTTTTATGAAATTACACACTGCTATTGCATAACACGTTAAAAAAGGGTGGCGCACGTTAATTAACATGAATTAGAATTCCAGAGCAGTACTTTAATTTATCAGTAAAGCGTTAAATATTATCGTTCTTTTAATTATGCCCCGTACAATATTGCACGTCATAATTCAACTGTCAACTCCCATAATTACAAATCAGCGACTCTCGGATTGTTTACACGTTACGCGCGTCTGTTAATTCGCAACGTGCACTTAATTTCAAACGTGACGACGCGACATTGATCTCTTGTATACATATCGAATAAGCAGATAACTATTATAATTCTCTCGAAGGAACAGAGCCGCATCCAGCATTGAATGAATCGTATCGGATCATATCAGATCGCGGTGCGTCTTTAAATCTTTAAACAGCACCCTGCCGCTCTTAATGGCCATTTGTTTCGAATAAACACATATGCTATATATTATTTAAATTTATTGAATCTCGAGCAACGAAGACAATCAATATCGTGACTTGAGAAACTAAAAAAGCTGAACATAATTTTTGTCCAAATCACAAAAAAAAATATCATAAAGAAAAAAGTACGAATAATAATAGTTTTACGCGAGCAAAGACAAATTATTTTATTTTAGGAAATAAATAAAAATTTTATAATTAAAAATATCTTTAATGTAATATAAAATATCGATGTTGATTATCTATCACTCATTTAATATAAAAGTTTTAAAATATTGTTGATAATTATCTAAAAAAAATTGTTTTGATTCTCTGAAAATAAAACAACCTGTTGTTGCTCGCAAAAGCCTATTATATATGTATTACTGGTACTTATTTTTTTAATACAATCAGCCTTGTTATTCAACTTATAAATATCGCGAAGATGAATGTAATTCTACTCTACCTTTTGAAGTATTATTTCCGTCCACATAACAAGAATAAATGAAGACTATTTTTAAACTCTGTGGCAACGTACAGTTGCCAGGTAAATTGGACACACGCTAGAAAACTCTTAATGGTATTAAAAAACTGAGATGCTTCTTCGTTCCTATTAAGTATTACGGTTACTATGTTGGTCGTTTCCGCTCCTAGACAAAGGTGAACATAAGGGCGGTCACGGGTTCTCACGTGCGAGCGCGAAAAGTGACGTTTTACGGAGCGCGCGGTGACTGTCAATCGTCTCCTTTCTCCATTTATGGACCGCGCGCGTCACGTATGCGTTTAACGAGGAGATTCAGCCGCAAAATTGACAATATGCTCGACGTTAGTTAAACGTTAAGGGCGAACTAAATCTAGTCGATTAACCCTACATCGCTGCCTCAATCATAACCCATTTCGTAAATACAGAATGTCGCGAGGAAAGAAAGCCAATATTAATAAGAGACAGAATCTTGCGATAATTTTTCCTTGTAGAAAAAAAATAATACGAAAAAAAAACAAACATTACATTTGCCAGTATAATTTTGAGTGCACGCGATTTTTAAAAGTATTTTAAAGTAGTAAAGCAACATTGTTTAATAACAATAGAATAATAGAATCTTTTTCATACATGTCACATAATGCCCCTTATTGACATTGGCACTAAGCGGCGCTACTGTTTCGTACGTCATTGTGCATAGGTCGAGAAAACAAAGTCGGAGAAAAGCCTCGTTGCATTTTTACAATGAAGATATATGCTGCGTTCTCTCTTTTATTCCGTGTTTTTCAATAAGAAACATGGGAGCACGAAAAATGCGCGTAAACAATACGAGGGTTTCGGAAAAATAGTTGAGTCGAGCCGAGTGAAGGTTAAGTGCTTACGACGATACGATCCCGAGACGATGGTCGCAAAACGCTTACCTTGGGATTACCGTTGCCAAGCCACGGTATTACGTTGTCGATGAACATGCCAATGTCCTGGCACTCGATGCTATTGGTCGAGTCGCCGAGGTAATTCAGCAACGCGCTGCCGACGTTCAGCTTCTTCTTGATATCCGTCGTTGACAGGAGCGGCATGAAGCCGTCCATATCACGCGGATTCACCGCCATGGTGAGCGAGATGCTAGACGTCGCGCGTCCCCGTCACCGTGCACGTCGTCGCCGTCGCCGTCGTCGCTCACTGGCCTCCTCCGCGAGTCCGTCGAAGCAAGGACGATGGAGGAGAATGGCTCACTCGCGCACACACATTACCCCGTCGTCGCGACGATGCTCACGAAGCTTACGCGCGGAAACGATATCTCGTGTCCTTCATCGTAACGAGACGAACCGTCCTCGCGCAAAGACCCACAGAGAGAGAAACACACATACGCACGAAGGTTTTGTCACACGGGCTGCCGATGCGAGACACCGTCCGGCACCAATTTACAATCGCCGTCACCGTAGCCACTACAGCTACCGTCACCGTCACCCTCGCCGCCGCTGCCGCCGCTCGTTTTAACGTCCGTAACGTGCGGCGCGACCGCTATAAACAAAATCGTACTTGAGGTACGCGAGCGATGCTAGAGTCGTACGCGTTGCACACGGCCGTCAGCGGACGTCCGCTCGTCGTTTCGTCGCGCACGCCGTTAACCGTAACTATCCGGATCGCGAGACGCGGCTAAACGAGATCATCGGCACCGTATATGCGACGCCATTTTCGTTTCACACCAGCAACCTCGCCGTTCGTGTCGTGCCGCGCCGCCGACCGCAGCGCCAGCCGCGGCCGCCGCGGCAACTACTCGCGCTATGTTCGAAAATCTACTCGTTCGAGTGAACGTAGGATGACGATTTTGTTTGACCAATCGGGAAGCACAGATTTCTTCGTCCCGATTGGTCCAAGTGAACTCGCTTCTCGAGTAAATGTTTCGAACGCGAGTCTGTTTACCGCTAAAAGAAATTTGAATAGTGATTTATTTTGTTCTTCCGTAAACGCGCGCGTCTAATGATTTCGCAGTTCACATTATGCGTAAAGTTATTTGTTTTTTTATTTATTAATCAGTTAAAGTATTTCGGTTGTATCGTTAAATTATCATGGCCAACGATTCGGTCGACGATTTGAACTTGAATACAGGTGAGTGAAAGAAACGTATATATTTTTGACGCGATATTGATTCGCAAGTTTACCGTAAAAATATAATACTTAGTATTTATCTAATTTTGTTCGTAAGTTTAATATCATTGGAAATTTAAATTCATACAAATGACAGATCGCATACACGTGCGGTTTGTATTTTGTAATGAGATTTTAATGAAGATAATGATATATATTATATATATATATATATATATATATATATATGTATATATACATAGTTACATTCACATATACAATATTAGGTATGTACAATATAATTTCTTATCGCTTTAAATGTATTACGTTCTCTCGCACTTTCGAAATCCATCCTCGAAAATATATTTCTTGAATGCAATCGCGCGAGTCGCGATAAAGTAGTGATTATGTGGAATTTCGACGAACAATCTTCAAGCTCTAAAGTCACATGGCTTTTCTGATAATCGCGAAAGAATCGCACCAGCAAAAGGCCCGTACTTTCAAATGGAGCAATATGTTGCAATATATAAGGATGGCAACGAAATTCTTCTCATGAAAACAATTTGTTAAAATCGATTAAAGTCCATCGATTACATTACGATATTACAAAAGTCGCATTTAATCCCGATAAATCTTTTTTTTATACAACATTCTTGAGCAGCAATATATGATTCAAATCAGCGAATTTCGAACTTTTATCGTGTTTTGTACATGTAAATATTTAGATTCACAATTGCTACAAATTTCGTTAAATGCGTAGTATATCGCAATCTTGGTATGAATTAGATACAAAAAGATGGCAAATAATGCATTCGTGTCTAATATGCATTTTTCGGACAAATATGTAATTTTGATAGGTCCGACATTTATTCCTTACGATGCAAAATCGTAAAATGCAATTTTCGTTAAAAGATACATTTGCCACCATCCTTATAAAAATTGACAAACACTATATGAAAAATGTCAACTAATTGTCGATTACGGAAAATTATGCTCAAAATAAATAAGATCTGTCTACTATTATATATAACTTATTATACAATTTATATATTATGTATATATATTACGTATATATTACTCTTTATAAATAACGTATTGCATACATCTTTTGCACTAATATTTTCGTTTGACGATTGGATGATCCAACTAAACTTCTAAAATTGCTAAGAGCTATATCACAATATGTGGCAATAAAAATGATGGAGCTAATAGTTAACTCTTGCTTGTTCGAGTGTTTGAATCTGTTCGCTTCTGACTTATTATTATCACGATCATTAGACTGCCCAGACTATTCTGCTTACAATAATTTGTATATTCGCGAATCACACTCCTCGCTTTTATCGCATACAATCGACAGCCCTGTGAGATACTTAATTGATAAATATATATCATTCTTGTATCGCGTCTGAGCGAAAAATATTGAAAAATATCTTGCTGAACCAGTCTGGTCTATTTTACTTACTTATGTTTCAAAGCTTTGTATATGAAACAGCATGCTTGTCAAAGACAAGCGAGATTCTCGATTCGTACTCAAAACACGTTATTGATCGTATGAACAGTTCGCGTTCATACATAACGAATTAACGAGTAATTAAACTAAAAATGACTCGGAGTTGGAGAATATCTTTGATGTTAACAGTACAATTTGTACATTTTGACTTATATACGTTTAGAATTGTGTTATACTACGCTTATGTATAATTCGCGCGCGCGCGTTCCGCGTTTTAAAGAGAATTTGACTGTCAAAGTCATAATTGGCATCTTGTAATTTTCTATAGGATTCTTTCTCTTTTTACTGTACGCTTCACGCCTCGCGGATGACTTAATGGACCGAATAATCGCATTACGATGAGAAAGACAAGGAAGTGTTTATCATAATCGGTCTTTAAATATAGAGTATAGTGAACGCAATCTTGTCATAATTCACCTAAATTATCTAGATTGTTTGATATCTCGCTGTGGAATATTCTAATACATCTATCAAATACTCCGAGAGACCTTAACATGATAGCAGTCGCATGTAAGCAAAAAATAGTCGATGCGACTCGGAATAAATTTATGTACGAGTATCTATAGATTAAACTATGCAATCTCCTAAAAAGTTAACTACATATTGCTTTCTCAGCGAATGTCTCATAGAATTTACCAAATGCTAAACGTTAGAAAGATTTTATAGAATAGGTTTGAAAATGTCATCAAGACAATCTAAAATATCGTGTAAGCGTATCCACAAAAGACATTGTTAGGCTTTTTAATGTCCAGAGAGCTAACAAGACACTTTTAATGCAAGTTCTGAATTGAAAAGCCTCTAAAAGCCTCAACTGATATATACCTATTTAATATTATTTTTACAAATCAATATAAAATAACTTGTCGATGCTGAGCTAAACCTATGAAAAATATATTTATACAACCAATCTAAAAGTTATCTTTAAATAAAATTTTTGCTATGCCTATATCACATGATAATAGAAAATTATAAAATTTTAATAATAGAGAAAGAAATGTAATATGCTCAGTATCTAATAGAAAGAAAGAATGTGCCTTAATTATATTACCATTTTATAACGATCTTGAACACTTTCTATTGTTGAATCTTTGCCATTCGATTGCATACATTTTTCCATGATAAGGCTATTGTTGTTGTTGCTGCAGTTGTTGCAATAGTGGACATACCTCGACCAAAGGAGTTCCCAGAATTTCTTGACATACTTGGTTCATGTCTGGCTCCATCATGAGTGAAGAAATTTGATCCTCCGTTAGCATCTCCACACTAATGAAAAGTTTATTAATAAGACAAATAACAAACTAAAATTATGTTTAATTGAAAAGAATAAATCAGTGAGAACTTGCCTAGCTAAACTTTCACTGTCCGATGTCTCTTCATCTGCATTGAGATAGCTCATTGTTTTTTCTAATGGACTAGGGACTTTCTTTCCTTTAGTTTCCGATTTTTCAGACTTTTCAGACTTGTCCTTATCTCTCTCCACTGTCTTTGGTTCACTAGAACGTCGTTCTGTCAAACTAGATATGTTTAGCATCATCATACCATGATTGAGTAATTCCTTAACACGTTCTCCAGTACCGCCACTCCACAACATATCGAGAGATTGTCTTCTGCTTGAATTTGCTGAAATGATAATGTTTATATATATGTTAAATAATATGAATGTTTAGATATATTTTAAAGTATAAAAATTTTTAAAGAAACATTCACTTACTGGAACTGCCAGCGCTAGTCTCACCACCGGCTGAACTCCTAGTTATCCAATTGGCTAAACTACCATCGAGTTTGCCTTTATTTTTTACCGAAGGGCTTCTTGTAACTTCAGCTTTTTTCTCTTCACTTAAAGTAACTTCGTTTACTTTTGATATTGTAGGTAAAGACTTTTGTGTTACTAATCTTTTTCGATTGGTCTGCTCTTTCGGCGGTTCGGCAGTTGCACTAATTTGCTGAGTAGTTTCTGGACTTAGATCCATCGGTAGTGGTTTGTAGGGAATTTGATCTTCTTCATCGGAATACATGTCATTGTTGTAATAAATTTCATCCGGTGAATTGTTTAGACTAATTTCCGTCCATTCATCCCCATTTTGAGTAGCGGCATTATTTTTATTATCGTTTACAGGTGTCTGAATTTTCACTCTCTTCTCGATAGGAGATATAATACCCGATAAATCAGCCAAGCCTGGTGCAGAAGAACTCATGTGATTTAGAGTCGGTACGATATGTTTCGAATCGGTAGTTGCGATGCTCCGTGGACGATCTCGTTTTATGTATTTACGAGGTTCGGTAGACGAAAGATTCAGATTATTTAGGCCCAGGTATTCAGATGAGAAATCTCTTTCGACCTGAAAAGAAATAAAAACAGCATTAGTATTTAATAAAATTGAAAAGTATATGATTGAAAAGTATTTGTCGAAGAGATGTATCTATATTTACTCTTGTAGGCATAGGACATTGCACATTTGGACTCATTTTATCGGGAAGGCGTAAATATTCGTCGCTAGTATAATCCGTACTGTCCGGAGATCCAGTTACACTAGAATCCGTCGGAGTTGCCGTGTTGGTTTGTGCATTGGAACGATCGGGGGCGTCTCGTGCATTTTTATCGTAGTCATCCGTACCGTCGTATCTCCTTGTCTAAATATTGACAAAATATAATGAAAATTTTATACATAGTTTGAATTATTATTACTCGAATGTAACTGATACATATATATTTATACCCTGTGAATCTCGTCACTGATTTTTTCTAGATTTCGTAACGCTTCGGCGTATGATGCTTTCGCTTCACTAACTGATCTCTCCAGCACACTGACTTTCATCTTTTGCTCCTCCAGCATTTGATTAAAGTGCGCTTTCATTTCATAATAAGGCCTATATGATAATTATATACTATTTTATTAAGATAGGATTATATTATACACAAAAATGATATTTATAATTATAATTATTTTAAATATATATTTTTATCGCAATATTTTATGCATAACAATTTAATTTATTTATCATATAACATTGTGATCGGAAGGGGACAAGAGCAACTTGACAAATCTTGTGTGCAGTATATTCATTGTGAAAAGCTCAATAAAAAAAGTAGCAGATTGTCGATATTTGAAATATT